ATTCCAATGGCTGAGAACCCTTTCAGTGAAAAAATTTTTCCTAATATCCAGCTTGAATCGTTCCAAGTTGTGGAGGAAAGAGCCTTGGTTTCCTCCACCCAACCCTGTGCCCCTGAGGGACGTAGGAGCTTGTGTGGCTCCACAAGCTGCAGAGGGATTGGGGCACAGGAGGCAGTTTTTCCTCTCCCAGGGAGCCCTTCTCTTGGCATGAAACCTGGTGAAAAAGCGTGGCCTTTGGCTGTTTTAAATCAAATTGGTGTTATATTGCGGTACGGAATCGTAATGAAGGAAACCACAGGAAATGTAGCTACTCCAGGGCCTCGACTGCCAGTCATCCTTCCTTCCTTGCGCCAACTAGAGGTACCGAAGTTGTCAAAATAATTTAGGATTAAAAGGGGAGATGTCACAGCAGATGATTCAGCCCTGCAGAATATTTCATAATACTATAGAGCATGAAAGTTAGTCTTTGAAACTCTAGACATCTACATTCATCATGACTGTTATTACAGAGTGTTAGGTAGAGATGGGGCGAGCAGAAAGCATCGGTTTAATTTTGTACTCAAGCATCTTTTGGGGGGGAAAGGATGTCATGCTACAATTAGGGACGTTTTGTGCGTTTCTTTTCAACACAAAGAACTCTGCAGCCTAGTGAAAATTGTGAGACCGTGTCAGATTTGGGCTAAAGTTCTGATGTTGGTCCCAAGGGCAGCATGAAAAGCGTACGAGAGCACTGACTTTGGAGATTCTCCCTGAAGATTTTCTTTCCTTGCTTAAACTAGGTATTTTAGTTTCTGAAGTGTTGTCATTTTATGCTCTGTTGTCCACGACACTTGAAAAGGAAAGGTTTGGTTTGGGAGTTTAAATAGATCATATCGGTAATTATCTGGGACTTCAAATACCTTAAGAAATTACTTTTACTCTCAAGCATGAAAAATAACAGCACAGGAATATATAGACTGAATAACTGGGGGGGTTGTTCCAAATCCGTTGCATGACACATCAGCATTATATTTAAGGAATTATTCGGAAGGAAGGTCTGGGTGGTTTTGTGTCTATTTATGAAGCACGAAAAAGCGAAAGTGATGTTTCTTCCTACATATTTACACCAAAGTTTTGGGTTATATGTACGCTGTGAGACCCAGTGGGTGACCGAAGAACAGGTCGGGTTTTGTCATTAGAAAATGCAGATGGTATAATGAAAAAAAAAAAAGAGGTTAAAAATCCAGCGGTCTAGCTCTGGTGTCTCATTAAACTGCTCTGAAAATAACATTTTTCACTGCATAACATAATTTCAGAAGAGTTTTATAGGCTTTCGTGAAATCTTGTAAAGCTGAAAACTGCAAGGTCTTCTCAAACCTTTTAAAAACTGGTGCGTGTGTGGGGCTGGGGATCTTTTGTGGGTCCTTCAGTAGATGCAGCAGTCACCTGAGATCACCCAGGAGCCTTAGTGGAACAAGGGGAAGCTGGAATTGCCATTGCTGGTCATTTCCATCTTAAAGAGAGATGGGAATAATGGTTTGGATTTTTCAGCATTTTTAGTTTTTCTTGTGCATTCTAAAGAAAAGTACTTAGCTGGAAAAATGTTTTTCCCTTTATAAGCTTCTCTGAAGAGCTGAAAGTATGGTTTGATAGAAAGAACAAGTAAATTACTCTTTGCAAAGAGTTTAAATTGAAACTGGTTGTATTTAAAATCAAAACCACAACTTTTTTTCCTACGTAGCAGTTTGCCTAAAGCTAGAGATGAGAGGGATTTGTCCCATTCAGAGGGAGTGTTTGTCAGAAATTCCTAAAAGTGACCTCAGTCAACGGGGTCAATCCTTAACACCGTGAGGGATGACTTTGGATGGATCTTTGGATCCAGCTTTGGATGGATCACAATGGATGGGAAGCTTTTAGTTTGGAAGTTTAGCAGGGAAGAGTAATGTGTGTAGAAAAATAAAAAAATGGCAGTAAAAACTTCTGCATGCAAAAAAATCCACCCAAATAAGGGTTTAAACAGTTGTGTTGTGTAGATTTGTTACTGGTTTGCAGTCTTGAACTGGGAAATGATGTGGCTTCTGGCAGAGTCAGCAGTGACGTAATCTCCAGCAGTTTGCGTTTGGATCCAGGGCTCACAACCTGCTATTTTTCAGGAAATTTTCTCTCTGGAATGTGTCGTGTGGGGAAAGGTAGGAAGAGGGAACAGGGATCATTCCCAGCTGCTCTGCTGAAGCTTCAGAGGTCAAAGCTTCTTCTGACAGTCCAGCTGCATCCACCCCGTGATCTGGGGAAACGAATGGGGCAGGTTTTTCTGTTTCCTTTCCGCTTGGTGTTTGCTGAAGGAGTTGTTTTCTCATCCGTGGAATTTATTCCCCTGAGCAGAGGACAGCTGAGGGTTGATTGTGGGTGACCTTCCACCAGCAGTGGATGGTTTGGAAAAGTGTTAAGTGAGCAAAACTGGGAAAGGACCAAACGCTTTTTACTGTTATATCAGCTTATCCCAAACAAGAGGTTGCACCTGGAGCACTGCATTCAGGAATTACCAATGCATTCTGCCTCCACTAATACACCTAATATGTTTTAAAATGTGTTTATGCTTGTGACTTCTACAAAGCCCAGCAGCAATGAGTTCTGCAGCTTGTGCGTTGGGTGAAAAATTACTTCCTCTTACTGGGTTTAAAACTGTGAGCTAATTTTATTAGGTGTCCCCAGATTTTCTTTTTTTTTTTTGTAATTTTTTTTTTTTTAGTTTCCATTTCTTTTATGCAGAAACTCCAGTATTTGTTTCTAAGGCAAAGACATCTTTATGTGAGAGAGCATTTGCTGATGCAGCACTGAGCAGAAAATGGCAATTTCCTGCCTCTGAGGCAAAGCACAGTATTAACTCCTGGCGTCCCAGGCTCCCTTGTTTGAACCTCCCTCGTGTCTTCAGGTTAAAAAAAAAAAACCCCAAAAACCTTTGCAAGCAAGTTTGGGTTAAAAAAGAGCCCAACATGCCCTAGGAAACACGTCTCTCAACTAGGGAATGGGCCAAGGGGCCTGGCTGTTCTGTGTGGTGTGAGAAATTCAGGGCAAAACCAAAGGTCCCTCAGCAGAAAAGTCTCGGGGATTCATTTGTTCATATTTTTCAAGAATTTCAGAACTACTCAACTATATTTGAAGTGTTATGGCCTCGTTTTCTTGAGCTGCTCAAGCTATTCCTAAATATTATAGGGATGAGAGTATGTAAATACAGGGGACATAATAAGAATAACATGAAACACATGAGTATTTTACACCGTGTTTGTTAGCAGCACTAGTAGAAGTTATAGTAAGACAGGACATGTTCCATAATTAGTTTTTTTCAGAGAGAAATGCATGTTTTACTAATTCCTAGCACTTTGCATGTGTGTAAAGTTGCACAGCCATTGACCCTTTATTAACACTAAAGGTGCAGTTGCTGAAATTAATCACTTCAGGGGGTCACTGCAGGTGAAGGTGTTTTTCTTCAGGTGTAGCTGATGAAGGTTGGACTCCCCAGACCCTCAGAGTGACAATATACATATTTATTACCATCTCTTTAATGTAGTTTCCCATAGTGGTTTAGAGAAACATTACATGCCAAAGAGGCCTTTTCTAAAATACAGAGCATCCTGCAGGGGGGCTCTCTGGCAGCACAAATTTTGCATGAATTTAGCCTTTTTTTGGTCATGTCAGAAATTCTGAAAAAATGTATTGAAGGCTCACTGTGCACAGAAAAAAAACTTCTATTTCAATTGTGTGGTTGTGCTACCTTACTGATAGGGTGGGGTTTTTCCCTGTTTTTCTCTGTTGTGTGAGGAGCTGTTTCTCCATTTGGGCAGTGCATGTTCTGCACATCCAACACAACCTTTGCTAGAAGAGATAATCCACACTTTGGGGATGGTTTCATAGTCCTCGAAAACATACAAAGCGCTGAGGAAAAACCACCAGCATTTGGCATTTTTAGTGAGGATCCAGGGAGTACTTGTGATTCTCCTTAAGGATGATTCTATGATCTGGGGTGGCTTCTCCATTCAGAATTCCTCACAAACTGAGAGCATCAACCAGAAGCAGCAGAGTTTAACTCTGGAAGCTGCTTTTACCTGAAGGATTTAATTAAATAGCTGACAGTAGGGATTAGGAACCTGCGCTGTGCTAATGATCTCTGGGCTTCTCCTGCCTCACCTCCATCCTGCTGTCCTGCTGTAGGGCCAGATTTCACCTTCCTTCAGAAACTCACCCTGTGAATTTTGCTACGTGTCACTTCAATATCGTGTGTAGCTGGAGAGAGGGGCAGCATCAAACTTTATTTATTAAAGGTCATTTAAAAAAAGTACTTCCAGGTGAGTGACAGAACTTGGTTCTGCTCCTTCTGTTACAGACTCCATCTCCCAACATTAAACAACTCAATCTCTCTTAAAATCTAATGCTCTTTGAAGGATGTAGCAGGGATTTTAGGTGCAATATATTTTCTTTAATAACCCTAAATAAATTAAGCAAGCAGGACTGTATTTCCTTCCCTGCGCTTGGTTCCATGACATACAAGTTTGAATTTCTCAGTGAAATTTTCATGGGGAATACTATGGTCTGAATTTTTTTCTAAAAGCCTTTGGGAGTGATCAAAGCAAACTTTTTTGAAGTGAGGTAAGATGCCTGTTTCTCATGAAGGCCAGAGGTGGGCATGCACCCAGGGGTGCTGTATTAACAGGAAAGGAACACAAGTTTGCAGATCTACCTCACCTGAAGTATTTAGGGAGCATTTTGGGGAGTTGGACTCAGTGATCCTTATGGGTCCCTTTCATCTTGAGATATTCTATGATTCTAAATTCCCTACAGGATCCGTGGTCTCATCCAGCAGCTGAATGATGATGCATTTCCATTTCAAGCTATAAGGAAAAGAGATAGATAAAAATTACTGCTCTGCTCCCTTCATGAAATGGGTGAGGGGAAAGGATTAGTTGTTGCATTCTTGGGGGTTACCTTGGAGCAGCCATTTGGAAATACCACAGACACCACTCAAGTACTTGCATAAAGACATTTTATTATGAATGCAATGTATATAGAGACTTTTTTTTTTTTTCCTTTCTTAATCTGAAGTATTTTTTATATAAACAGGTCAGTTTGCAGGGCACGACACTGGTTGAACACCCTTCAGCTCCAAAGCTCTGCTGAAGTTGATCTCTTGAGGTTTAGCAGTGCCCTTGGTGAGCTTCAGAGACCGGATGCATCCTTTGAAGCGGATATTAGTTGTCAGCCCAAACTGGGTCACGCCATCTGAAGGAGGAGGTAAAAAAAAAAAGGCAAAAGGCATTATGTTAGTTTGAGTTGATATTTGTTTGTTCTTTGAGAGTCCTGCAGGAGATGTCCCCAGCTATATAGTAATATGTTTTATTTGCTGTATATCTTCTTGATGCAGAAAATGACAAACGTTATGAGCGAATGTGATAAATGCTTGTGTTAGTGGTAACAACCCAGGCTTCTTTCCTTCTTCCCTGCTAGCACGGCGGTGGTGGAATCTGAAAGCATTTAAACTGCCCTTATAAACCCTGTAACTCAGTTAAATCAAGGAAATCAAGGAAAACAATCAAATGGCACCTTGCTACTTAAAAACAGTGTGTGGAGCTCACAGGTTAGTCCTGCAGAGCTCCACCTTCCCAAGCTGTTTATCCACAGAATAACAGAGCAAAAAAAAAGGCCAAAACAGATGCAATTCTCAACTATGATATCACGAGGAAGCCAGTTCCTCAGTATGAACTTTAGATGTCATTTGAGGTTTTGAGAGTTTTCAAGCATTCTGATTTTTTAATATTTTTTTTCTTGCTAATTGTAAAGCCAGGGACTTGAGAACATCTTTTCCACTGAAGGAGAACTATTCTAGTGTGACCAGATGATAGAAGCGAGGGTTGGTTTGACCAGGAAGGGGGAAATATTTCTCTCCACTGCTTGAAATTCATGGCCCAACTTGTTTCCCAGTGTTCTTCCAAGTGACAAAGTGGCTACAGGGATGTGCTCTGGTACAAATCTCTGTGGCTGCTAGAGGAAGGGCTGCAGAAATAACTTTGCAGCTGCAGAGGAGTGACTGGCCATAGCGTTCTGCTGTTTCACGGAGGGTGAGATGGTTGAATCTATCTGTCCCTCCTTGCACAGGGAAGAGTGATAGTAGGAGAGGAGTAAATGGCTTTTACAGGTAGCCAGAAATGTACATCCTTGCCCACACTCTGGTGGCGAAATGTTTCTCTGCACAGGCAGTTCTCCACCAGCTCAGTCTCACTGGTTTACAACTGTTTCACACTGTTTATGCAGCCGGGAGAAGCCTCAGGAGGAGTGGGAAATACAAACGCTTACTAATTTTACAAAATCCCATGATACTGTGTTTTAAATTTGTGGTGAGGCCGTCTGGGTACTGGGAACGTTAAAACAAACCTTGGATGAGCCAGACTAGATGGCAGGAGTAGTGTGAGCTGTTTAAATGCACATGTAAGGTTATTAAATCATTTCATAACTTGGTTGTGTGGCTCAACTCAGGAATATCACTGCGACATGATGTGGGTGTAGGTTTTTTTAGTACAGATTGCAGCCTTACTTCCATTTGTTTCTCTTACTGTGATCAGTCCAGAACAAGACTAATTCCTGCAGTGTTTCTTTAGTGCCAGCTCAGATCCTGGTTTGTTATAAAAAGGCTGTCAGGAAGCTGTTTTCCTTCTGGCACAAAGCTGGTCCTTATCAACAGTCACCGAGACTAAAGTACAACGATAGCTCAGTGTCAAGAACGTTTTGGAAAAAGCTCTGGAGCTGGAGAGAGAGATGCACCGTATCACACATTAGAATGAGGGGGGAAAAATAACTTCTAGAAAAATCTTTGGGGATTAAGAGGCGTCTTCCCACTGACCCCAGTGTGCACTAGGGCAGGCACACACTGCAAACGTACTCAGCCTTTTAATTTCGCAAACTCGAGAGAAACTTTATTGTAAATGCAACAAAATTTGGCACTTTGCAACCATCTTAACTGTGTTTTCAGAAAGGAAACTGCTATTGGATAAACCTGATTATCTATGAGCAGGTGAGTACTTGCATTCATTATCAGCTTAGTGGCAGATGAAGTTACCTACGGAGCTCAGCCCAGATCTGGATCCTGTACAATTACCTCTGCCTGAAGCAAGGTCTCTCAAGGACTTCCAGAATAGTGAGGAGCAAATTTATTTGGGTTTGGTGTTTTGGGTTTTTTTGCCTTTAAAGACATTGCTTGAAAAGGGATGGTGTCCTGTGCTCCACATTCCTCAGGTCTTCAGGTTTTTACAGCCTGATTTACACCCACAGGGCCCTGCCTCCCCAAGGGCACTTATCCATTCTTTAGCTAAAATTAAATTTGCCCTTCTTGGGGGTCAGTCTCTTCTCTCAAGTCACAGGCGACAGGACGAGAGGAAATGGCCTCAAGTTGCCCCAGGGGAGGTTCAGGCTGGATATTAGGAAAAAATTTTTCACTGAAAGGGTCATCAGCCATTGGAATGGGCTGCCCAGGGAGGTGGTTGAGGCACCATCCCTGGAGGTGTTCAAAAGACAGGTTGATGTAGTGCTGGGAGGTCTGGTTTCGTGATGGTGATGCTTCTTGTGTGTTGTGCGGGTGTCTATTTTTGTCAGTCAGGTTGAGGGTTGGACAAGATGATCTTTAAGGTCCCTTCCAACCTAGAAGATTCTGTGATTCTTAGGTTAAATTTAAAATTGCCAAATTCTGCAGCTATTGAAACATAAAGCTTTCCACTTAGTAAGAGCAGAGCAGTTAAGAGCAAGTCTCTGTGTGTGTGTGTGTGGGCAGCAGAAGGTTTTTGTTTTTTTAAGCCTGGTCTGTGTGTTAAATGCTCACCGGGGTATCCTCCAACAAAGAGAGGGTCGTTGGTGTCTGCGGAGGTGGAGGCCCTGCTGGGGCTGGTTCCTTCCACCCGTCTGCCATCCACTGTCAGCTCCAAGTGGTGCTTCACCTTGTTTGCCACAACCTGGTGCCACTCTCCGTCGCACAAGCTGCTGGGGGCATCGGGCTCGTAGACAGCAGAGAACCGACCTGCACCATTGTCCACGTGAAACATCACCTGGAAAGCACAGCAGGGAAGTCAGATACTTCTCAAAACAGTCCCATAGTCCTTTTTCTTTCTTTCTTTCTTTCTTTTGTTTATTTAAAGTTGACACACTCTTCTTTTTTTTCTTTTGTTTATTTAAAGTTGACACACTCTGCACACACTAAAGCTCTGATTTAATACCAGGCTCCATGGGGATTGCTGTCCCTACTGCACACACTAAAGCTCTGATTGAATACCAGGCTCCATGGGGATTGCTGTCCCTCTGTGATCTGGATTATATCACTGAGATAAACACTAGTGGAAACAGGCAAAATTTTTGTACAGGTTGTCATTTCTCCATTTTTTTGTCTTAGATTTAAGATGTTTCTGTGCCCCGCCCCTGCCCCAAAGGTCTTTACAGTGACAGATTACTGATGGGTCTTCCAGACTGTGAAATAAGAGATGCACACAAGAAATCAGTATCTTTAATGACAAAGCCTTTCCTCAAAACTTTTCATATTTTCACTAATTTAAGTCCTGGTGTTGCCGATTTAGGAAACGCAAGTGTTACAGAATCTTTTAAACTATCTTTGTAAGATATTTTATTATCTATCTATTTATCTATTATCTATTACATCTATTTTCTATCTAATTACCTATCTATTTATCTATTATCTTGATTATCTACATAAGAGCCTCTTGAAGTGGCAAGTGATGCATGAAAGGAGAGCCCTGATACTGACCGAAACACCTTGGGACTGGTGCAGTAATCCTGCATTTAAACTATCTCTGCTTTCTAAAACTAGTTCTTGTAAAGAGCCCCAAAAATACTTCATTACTCACTTTTCCATCAACTAATTCGATGCCCAGCCCATCCATTTTCTGGCTGCTGACTCCAAGGAGGACACCGTTCATCCGTGTGGTACGGAACTCAAATTCCACGAGCAGGTCTGTCCCCACTTTGTAGGCACCCACTGGGAGAGAAGAGGGGAAGCTTAATAAACCAAAGCAAAGCATTTAATATATTATTCCTAATCATCTCCCAAAGCCTGTTGCCAGTCATGTAAGGTTAACTAACTCGGCACTATTAACGCATGATTTCATGTGACATCATGGAAGTTACTGTGGCTGTGCTCACTGTGAGACCTTGCCACAAAGTCATCGAGTCTATCCCTAGGCAAGATAATTAAAAATGACTAGTGAGAGTTTCAAGGCTTGGTCTCGCTTTGCCTCCCGTCAGCAGGTGTTTTTGAAAGCACAGAATCACAGAATCTTCTAGGTTGGAAGGGACCTTAAAGATCATCTTGTCCAACCGTCAACCTAACTGACAAAAATAGACACAAGAAGCATCACCATCACTAAACCAGACCTCCCAGCACTACATCAACCCGTCTTTTGAACACCTCCAGGGATGGTGCCTCAACCACCTCCCTGGGCAGCCCATTCCAAGGGCTGATGACCCTTTCAGTGAAAAAATTTTTCCTAATATCCAGCCTGAACCTCCCCTGGCACAACTTGAGGCCATTTCCTCTTGTCCCATGGCCTGTTCCTTGGGAGCAGAGACCGACCCCCACCTCTCTACACCCTCCTTTCAGGGAGTTGTAGAGAGCCAGAAGGTCTCCCCTCAGCCTCCTCTTCTCCAGGCTGAATAACCCCAGCTCCCTCAGCCTCTCCTCATGAGACTTGTGCTCCAGACCCCTCACCATCTTTGCTGCCCTTCTCTGCAGCAGAATTGCTGCTCGTTACCTGGTTTGGCGAAGCCCGTCCCATCAAAGTATGTTCCTTTCTGTGCAGAGACAAAGCATCGCCCAACATTGAAGCTGGAAGTTGGATTGTCCAGGTCAACAGGTGATTCTGTCATTTGGAAACTTCTGATGCAGCCATCGATGCTGTAGGTGACCTGCGGTCAGTATTGCAAAAAAAAATTGCATAATTCTGCAAAGCTGGCTGAAAAACTCAGGAGAAAGGCCTAAAGTTATGTCATCAAACAGTGCCTTTCCTCTGCTTCTCCACTGGATTTATGGAGTTGAATAAAACTTGAATTTTCCATGGTTAATCCTTAGTATCTGGTTGTAATTGGCATCTAATCTCGGTCATACTGGGGACAAATTGCTTTACTTCTCAGGGATGTGACCCAAGTCCCATCCATGTGGCTTAATGGAGGGGACATAAAATAATATACTGCATAATGAACACAGCAAATTACATCAGCAATGCAGGAATTTAATGGCCTGTGCTTTACCTTTTTAATTGACTAGGTTATGGGGTTTGCAAGTAGACAAAGACACTGGATGTGGTTCTCTGGGCTGCTGGTAATTTTACTAGGGCTTTTTTTTTTTTTTTCCTTTTAATCACTTTACTGTGGGATAACGCTGCACGGTGAGACAGATCTAACGCAGGTAGATGGCTACTAACATGAAGAACGTCCCTGTGTAAAGGTTATGACTGTACACAGTTCTCCACATAACAACCATCTATAGGTCTGGTGACCACGGGGACACGGTTGGTTGACACGTTCATCAGCAACGCAGTAGGAAGGAGGAAAATAAAAATCAGCGTATAAAATACAACACAGAACTATGTACAAATAAAGGAGAGAAGCAGAAAGAAGTCTTGACTGCACGATGCCTCCCCCAACAATATCCTCACCAGCAATTTGAATTTCCAAAGAATTTCTCTCCTTGTAAATCAAAGCTGAATGTGCTATGGAACTAAATAGCTGCTAAATACACCTGTACAAAATTTTCATGAGAACTTGAGCAATATCAGTGCATAAATTCAGTTCTGAGCAGAGCAACACTTTCTGTCAGATTCGTCATAAATTGACCCTTTTCTAGTGTCTAAATGAAAGTCTCCTCTACATCAACAAGTTTTTTACCCAAAAAAACCCAAAAACACGACAAAGGAAAACAACTCTTGCCATCTTTGCTGTGAGAATAAATCATAGCAATGCAAGATTTGTAGACAGCTCAATAGCATCCTCTAACTTGAAAATTTCACCTTCCCTGCGGAAAAGCCCATTTAGTGATCCTTTAGCGTGGCAACTGGCACTAGAATGCCTTCTGCTGAAAGCAGAGTTGTGAGTGCTTAAAATGTGACACCTGCTGCAGCCAAACAAGTAGACATCAGTCTTCTGCAGGGAATGGGATGCCAGGCCACCTACGGCGACGCGTTAGACACGTGTCTGAACAGGCTGATGTGTGTTTAGCAGAAAAGCCCTCACTAAGAAAATACAGGCTTTAAACTCTTCGCTTCAGAGCCCCTGCCTGAACCCTAAAATGCAGCACTATTAATCCGTCAAATGGTGTATTTTACTGAGAACGACTGAAAGGCAGCAGTGGTTTGTTACCTTCTGTGACTGACATCTGAAGTTACAGCTTCATTTAAATCCCAAAGGACATGAGACTGTGGGGATCTGACAGGGCTCTACGGGCTCCCTCTCTGCCTCTGACAGGGAGCAGGAGGTGAGGATTTACCATCACCTTTCTCCTTAGATTAGCATTTGTAAATTACTTTGTATTTCAAAGCGCATAATTTGGGAGTATTAGGAGTTATATTTTGTGGGTAGTTAAGTACAGCTTTTGTTTTTCAGTGCCTCATATCAGGTTTGGTAAATCCAAATGAGCAGGAAATTTGCCTCAATTCTGGCACAATCCAAAATTTGATGAGAAATATGATCTTACAGGTCAGTTTTCTCTATGGAATACATCTCTCACATTTAGAGCAGTTACTCTTTCCCTTCAGTGCCCAGCCACGAAGTCTTACAGTGATTTGTTTAAGCAGGATCTAGGAATTCCTTTTCTGTAATTATTTTGTCCACCCCAATTGGTGGGTTCTTGCCTGTCTATAGACTAGTTTTTGCCACTACAGCATCATTTTACTACAATGGTATTTACTCATGGCCAGTCTCTTTGAGAGGCTGGTTTGTTTTCTACTGGGACATGTACTACTGCCCCCTCGTTCCCAATTCCGTATCACCAGCCAGAAGGAGCCCAGACATACCTGCCACTGACATTCTGCTTATTTCTCCTCATTGTCCTGCTCTATCTGCCTAATTTGCTGTTTGTCGTAAGTAAATTCACTCAAGTTCTGGCTTTGGCTTTGAAAGATGCAGAGAAAAATAATACAGGGAAGAGTTTTTCTCTGAAAATGATACTGGCATATCTTGGGGGGCTGGAGGGCAGCAGGGAAGTGAGGTGACTGACAGGGAATTGTGTGGATGGATGCAATAAACAGCCCAGGTGAGGGAATACAGGGTTCCTAGGTGATTCTACAAAGTTTAGGCCAAAATGCTATTCACCTCTGAATAGCTGTCTTTGTGTCTTCCGTGTCAGTGTGGAAGCTGGGCATTCAGACCAAAGCTGTGACAAATCAATGTATGCACGTGTGGTTTGGGAACAGAAGGAGAAGAACAGAGTTTTCATGGCCTACTTCAAAATACATTCTCTCCCAGTTTAGTAATAACACCACAAACCCAATTACTGCAGTGAGCAGCTGGACCACTGGGTGTTTCCATCCAGCCTAATTTTGGCTTCTGCTGCTTCTCTTAGGAGACACTTTCCCTGTTCATTAGCACTTAATAGCTAGAGGAGGTAAAATAGCTAGAGGTCCTGTAAAAAATAGCTTTCTTGCCAGGAGAAAGTGGTACTCAGGACCTAAACTCTCAGTGCAGTGATCCAAGTGGATACAGGCTTCATTAGCACTTAATAACTAGGGGAATTACAGCCAGGAGAAAGGGCAAGTGGTATTCAGGACCTAAGCTCTCTCAGTGCAGTGATCCAAGTGGATACAGGTGTAGGGCTCTCTCTGCTTTTCCATGGCAGTACCTAACTCTGCTGTCACTGGTTCTTTTCTTTCCTTGGGTTCTGAGTCAGGTATTTCCACTGGAAGGACACAGCGTCCATCCACTAAGAGTCATTTACCAACATTTTTGGGCAGTCTTGGGGAAAAGCAATACAAAACAAAACCGGGTAGGCATGGTACCAATCAAGACATATTTTAGAAGTATAGAGCAACTTAATTAAACTTCCTTACCGGGCCAATTCGTCTGGTTGTGTAGTTAATGGGCAATCCCCCAACGTAGAGCATCCCTACAACATCCAGTATATCTGCCTTCTTGGGGCTCACAGTTCTGTTTGAAACGTCATCTACTATAAGGCTTCCTTCTTGCTTGGTCCGAATGACTTTTATCTAAAAAGACACACAAATGCAATAAAATTACACATCTTTCTAACAACAAAATGTTTCCAGAGTGTAACTAGCCTTACAGTCCCAAAATATCTAACAATTCTGGAGAAAGCAGTAGGAGCGGTTACAGAAGTACCGTGGCAGCAACTGTGGGTGATGTTCATGGAACAGAGCTCCTGCCCAAGGTTTTATGCAAATGTATGACCACCTTTTAATTAGCTCCAGGTCAGAAGGCCTCATGACTATTATTTATCAGAATTACTGAAAGGACTTGGGCTTCCTTTAAAAAGCTTAATTGTTACTATCAAAGGCCTGCTGCAGTATTGTTTTTCCTGGAATTAGTTTAAGTAACTGGGAATAGTAAATGCTGAATATTAATGGCGTCAGTGGCAAATCTTTTATTGGAGCACGTGTTTGCAGTATTGAGTTTATGATTCCACTAGTTTGGACGTGCCTCAGATCACAGTTCATGGCACAGTAAGTACAATACCAACTGTGTTCTGCTGGTGCTAAGGATTCTGTTCAAACGGGCTGCAGGTGCTCAAGGGTTGAGGAAATTGTACCCCAACAACTATAGGTCGATTTAATTCCAAAGGTTTATACTGAAATCTCCACAAATCAGTATAACCGTGGTTCTGTATAAAAAAGGGATAAATGTAAAATGCAACTCGCACAGGGGCACATTTCTAAACAGTGCAGTGGTGCTCAGCAGAGCAAAGAGGGAGGGTTTGGGGAGTGAGACACAAACTGGAAATGGTCTTCAGAGGCCCTGAAGAGGCAGCAGCAGCACGATGTGGCTTCTGGCGGCCTCATGGACATAGAATCATAGAGTTGTCTGGGTTGGAATCTGCTGGTGCTAAGGATTCTGTTCAAACGGGCTGCAGGTGCTCAAGGGTTGAGGAAATTCTACCCCAACAACTATAGGTCGATTTAATTCCAAAGGTTTATACTGAAATCTCCACAAATCAGTATAACCGTGGTTCTGTATAAAAAAGGGATAAATGTAAAATGCAACTCGCACAGGGGCACATTTCTAAACAGTGCAGTGGTGCTCAGCAGAGCAAAGAGGGAGGGTTTGGGGAGTGAGACAGCAACTGGAAATGGTCTTCAGAGGCCCTAAAGAGGCAGCAGCAGCACGATGTGGCTTCTGGAGGCCTGATGGACATAGAATCATAGAGTTGTCTGGGTTGGAAGGGACCTTTCAGATCATCCAGTCCAACCATCACCCTACCACTGAGAAAAACCATCACTAACCCATGTCCCTCAGCCTAATGTGTCAACCTAAACCATTTCTCATGGAGAAAAGGTTCCAACAAAAGGGATTATTTTAAGGACAACCCCCTGCTTTCTTAAAAACAGAGACTGTGGTCTTTTATTAAAGAGGTTGCCCTTTTCCTTCTCCCAAAATGGACTTCCTTGTGCTTCTGGGGATTTGTCTCCATTCTCTCCTACAAAAATGGGATCTACACCAAGGGTCCCTCTCTCACAGAGGGCCAAGCTGCACGGCCAAAGAGCACAGTCTTGCATTAAGAATATATGCTTCAGTTTGTTCTCTTAGTGTATAGAAAAAATGGCTAAAAGAGAAAAAAGAAATTATCTCTTTTCTGCATCTACAGAGTGTCCAGCAGAAAGGGGCCCTGGCCCACTGCCCGTGCTCCTGGCATTATGTAAAACTGATAAATATGATTACAACTTTATTTTTTTCTTTCATGAAATACCTTGGGTTTTTTAGAGCATTTGCCATCATCAAAAAGTTACTGAATAAAATTCCAGTTGAAATAAAATTCCCGTGGAGCAGGGTGGGAATGAAGCAAAGAGGGGCTAAGGGTGACTGCAAAGGGGGTGTGGGAACAGCAATTGAAGCATAACAGAAAATTCAATTTTTTTCTCATTTGGTGCTAGAGATGTGGATGGTGATTTTCCAAATATCTGTCCAAAACGTAATATAAAGATTTACTTAAGTCTTTTTTTTTTTACTTTTCTTTGTTCTTAGCATCCTGCCTGAACAGCAACATTACTAACAAAGAAACAACTGGCTTTAATTGATGTATGCAATCATGGTGAGATGATACTCACCTGAGCCATAGAGGTGTGGATGGTGATTTTTCCAAATATCTGTCCAAAATGTAATGTAAAGATTTACTTCAGTCTTTTTTTTTTCTTTTTTTTTTTACTTTTCTTTGTTCTTCTGCCTGAACAGTGGCATTACTAACAAAGAAACAACTGGCTTTAATTGATGTATGCAATCATGGTGAGATGATACTCACCTGAGCCCAATTAGGCAAGATGGAACATTTCCTGCACTTCCTTACCCAACACGGGACATATTCTAAATATCTCCAGAAATAGGGGTTTCCTGAAGGACAACACTCAAAGATCAGCTTTTTGGTCAGTAGAATATGCCCCATGTACTCACCAGGGCGTCTGAAAGCACCGGTTTTGCTGAGGACAGAAATGCTGAGTTGTAAGGTTTAGCTTCTACAAACTAAATTGTGCCAATATCTTAAGGCAAAACAAAGCTGTTTTGCTTTGCACACAAACAAAAGCGTGCAGTTGCAGCCCAGAAGGCCAATCCCATCCTGGGCTGCATCAAAAGCTGCGTTGCCAGCAGGTCCAGAGAGGTGATTCTGCCACTTTGCTCCGGTGAGACCTCACCTGGAGTATTGTGTGCAGGTCTGGAGCCCTCAATATAAGAAGGACATGGACC